AGAGTTTCATTATGTAGTTGAGATTGACCTGGAACTCACTATGTAGCCCAGCCTGGTCTCGAATTCACAGAGATTCTCCTGCCTCAGCCTCCCGAGTGCTGGGATTGCAGGTGTACACCACCACGCCTGGCTTGGGCAAGTTGTTTTGGAAGAGTGAGCAGTTAGACACATTCCCACTACCAGTTGTTACTTTGCTATGACTCTATCCATAATTCATTCATTTATAAAATGTTTATTAATGTCTGCTCTAGGGACATAAAAATAAATAAGACATAGTCCCTAGCCTGAAAGGAGCTCAATGTTTTAAGAAAGAAAGGGAAGCACACATAATAAACCTGATAATACAGTGTAAAAATTGGTGATATCTTAGAAATGCATAAACAGACAGTCATGCTAGCTCAGAGCTGGGAGAGGACATTTCTAGCAAAAGTTTCCTAGGAAACAATAAAAGTAATTTAATTCTGTTTGGAGAATGATGTTCTTCCTGTGAATCTTAAGTGCTTTTTTATTACATCTCAAGTGGAATCAGTTGGAAAAAAATGCTTACAATCTAATTCCCAGTATTTCCTGCCCCCAAAGAATCCTTTAAACTCTGAAGATATATGAAAAAGGAACAAAAAGGATGAAACAATTAGATACGAGCCTTCCAGCTCTGATGTGTCCTGGCCAGCTCGGATCATGTTCAGCCCACTCTCTCCAGAAATCCAGACAGGAATGCTGCCCACTAAAATATAAACATGCTTTGCTGAGAGATTTACAGGCCAGAGAGGTAAAGGAAAATAAGGTACAGACTTTAGAGTGGACACCTACAGTCATTTCCTGGGACCTCACTAAAATGACAGGAAAGTTCTAGTTAACAATAGTTTATTGTCTATTTCAAAATAGCTAAAGGGAGATGATTTTGAATGATAAATATTTGAGGGATGGATATGCTAATTACCTTGAGTGGACCACCACATGTTAAATACACACATGAAAATACCACATTGTACCCTATTTGCACTGTATGTACATTGTACACCAATTAAAAACAAAACAATATCTATGCAAAAGTTATAAATGCACAAGAATGGCAGAATCAGAGAGAAGGACATAGAAACAAAACTCTGACAGTTGGAAAGCAAAAGGAAGACTGGCAACTAATTGAGCTATTCCAAACCTGGCAGTGATGAAATCGAGGCAGTGATGAAAACCAACCCAATATTCACTGCAGAATCTCTTCAAAGGCTCTAGAATTTGAAGGATACCTCTGTAAATGGAGGTTGTGAAGAGAGACTTATACGGTAGCAACCAATTAAAAAGAACTGGTTGGAAGTCCGTTTATGAAAGTCAGTCCTGGATCCCTTCACCAGTCTGAGCTGAATGACTTCTCGTGGTCTGGGCCCAACAAGTCTGATGCTTCGTTTTTTGCGGAGTAAGGCAGAGGTTCTCTACTGAAGCATAGCAGGGCTATGCTGAGCATGGATATGAAGGGCCATTTGCATACTGGATGCTGAGATGCCGTCCCACATACCCTGCCCAGGACACTGGCAGCCAGGAATGAACAACTTATAGGAGCCTGACTAGCTCACCGAGAAAGACCTAAAAATATCGACACTAGGTGTTCCCAGGCGAACAGCTCCAGAGCAGTCACCCTGCCTGGACAGCTTTGGTCAACAAACATTCTCTTAGAACTTCCAGTGATCTTGGTAGTTCAGACCCTTAAATGTGCACAGACAAGAATCTGTTGGACATCTGAAGGAAACCTCTAATGTGAAAGAGAAAGGAAGAAATAAATATATTGAAATGTCAAGCTGCAAGGAAATAGCCTATTTGAAGAGAAAATTTGGGGAAATACACTGTGCTTGATATTTTCAAAGTTCTGAAAAGAACCGCAGAACATGAACAAGGTATGATAAAGAAACATCCAAAAATGCCAAATATGCAAGCAGAAATAAAAATGTCAGTACAAAGGTGAATGAATAAAGTTGAGGATATTTTTCATCATGTAGTGTGAAAAGAAAAACAAGGAGTCATGAGCAAGATAAAATAATTAGAAAGCCTGTGCACAGGTAGAGGGGCGGGGGAGCAAACAGGGAAGAAAATTATAAATAAAATATTTTTTAAATGCTCAGAAATGAAAAATAAAGTTTTCCAGTTTTTTTGAGATGAGGGCTCCCTGTGTTGTCCAGGCTGTTCTCAAACTCCTAGGATTAAGCAATTCTTCTTCCTCAGCCACCTACTAGCTGAGACTATTGGCACAAAACCATTACTGCCTCTGACTTTTCCAAATGAAAGGACTCACTCACTGCCAAGCAAAATGGATAATGATGCTGAAATGGACACTCACCACACCTTGTGAAATCACAGAACACTGGAGATGAAGAGATGATGCTGAAGGCTTCTTGAGGGAAATGAAAAACCTCACACAAAAGATAGAGAATTGAAGAGACTTCAGTTTTCCCAACAGTGACACTAGAATGCAGAAAATTTGGAGGGGAAATAATTTCCATTTTAGAATTCACTGCTAAACCCTTCATGGAAATTGCTGGAGGGTGCCCTGTGACATAGAAGGGAGCCAGGTAAGCAGGAAATGTATGTGACACAGGAAATGAGAGGCCCAGCAAGGGAGATTTGCAGAGTCCAGAGTGATCCTGAAGGGAAATACCCAGGTGTCACCTGGGAACTGGGCAAAGGCCAATCAGGCAGTCAGGTCCAGCAGGTTAAATGCCTCTGAGGGAAACTTGTCTAGGATATTAAATCTGTCAAAATACTAGGCGTGTCTAGAAGTCTTGCCAGGCTATTTTTAACAACTAGTCAGCAGTTGGTGTCGAAACAGTAATAAGGACGTAGAAAACGAGGCAAATGGAAAGCCTAGACTTTGAATAATTTATTCTAAGGAAAATAAAGTATTGTTCAGGAAAGGAAAAGAAAAGTAAACAGTTTAACTATAGGGATCCACTGTGTGTGGATATAGACGTGGATACATTAATTAGTTATTTAACCAAAATTAGGACATAAAAGTCCTGGAAGGATAGCGATGAGAAGGCTGTTCTTGGCTGCATTTGGGTATGGTGTTGGTGGGAAATGAAGAGGACTAAACTACACTTGCTGTGTTGGGAAGTCGCTGAGCACTCCCTACTATATTTCAAATAAGGCAAGGAATAGCAATTACATTCTTTACAGCATGTTATTTAGTGATATGAATGTAAATTAAAAGCCAATCAGATAAAAATGTGTATTTGTCTTTTAATTTTGTGTAACAAATTCCCTCAAATTTCGCAGTTGAAAACATCATCCATAAAAAACAATGTTAGTGCCAGGGATTTAGCTCAGTGGTGCCACTGGCTGCCTTGCAAGTGCAGGGTCCCAAGTTTGATCCCCTTGGTACCAAGGAAAAAAAAAAACCCAAGCAAAAAACCACAACAAAACAAAAAACCAAAACAGTGATGGTTTCTCAAGGATTAAACATAGAATTACTCATAAATTTCATACCACCCAAAAATCCCACTTCCAGCTACATAACAAAGATTTAAACAAGTATGTACACACACCAAGTTCATGTAACATTATTTACAATAGTCAAAAGGCAGAAACAACTCAGATGTCCTTCAGCAGTCTTCATTTGTTTTGATTACTCGTCTTTTCTTCAATTAAATCTCATTCTAAAAAATGTAGTAGTACAGTTCCTTTTTTAAAACCTTAAAAATGGAGGTAGGAATATGATAATTAGTATCTTTGGGAAATGTTTTGATCCTCTTTAATGTGAGCTATTAACTAAATATGACAAGTCTACATTCTCCAGCACTGTGGAGAAGAGTTGCCAGAAATTAAGACATTGAATATGTGAGTTAAAATTCTCTTTCTGAAAACCAAACCAAACCCAAACCCTGTCCATTTACTATTTCACAGTTTCTGAAGGTTCAGGCTCAGTTTAATTGGATTCTGTGCTGAGGGCACTGTGAGGTGGGAACCAAGATGCCGAGCAGGGCAGCTCTCATCTGGGAGTAGACTACTCATCTAAGCTCACTCACACTGTTGGTAAAACCTGAAACTTGAAGGACCGAGGTCCTTGCTTTCTTGTCAGCTGCCAACTAGACCCTGCTCTGAGTTCTTAGAAGTCATCCACAGTTTTCTCAAGTGGCCCCTGTAGGGACCTGGGTGCTTGCTGTCATCCAGGGCAACTGAAGTAGGTCTCTCTGATTTCCTCTTCAGTGAACAGGCAGTGAAAGTTCTTTGCTATCAAAGGGCTCACCTGGTTATGCCCTCACTTGTAACTCATACTTATGTGTGTATTTAGTTTTGTGCAAATTTTACCATACATGATTTTGTGTATCCCCTCAGCCAATGTGCAGGACAATTCATCACTAGAAGAATCCTCCAGTTTTTCCTTTACAACTGCATGAATCTCTTTCCCTCCCACCTCTACCTCATCTCTGATAACTGGAAATCACTATGCTGTTCTGTATTTCTATAATTTTTGGTATTTAAAGAATGTCACATAAATAGAACCACATGATCTTTGTAGCAGAATTTTCATGAGGTTCTTCTAAGTGTTGTATGTATCAACAGTGTCTTAGTTCATTTGTGTACTGTAATTAAATACTACAGATTGTGTAATGTATAAATAATGGAAATTTATTTATCATTGTTCTGGAGGCTAGAAATCTAAGAATAAGGCACCAGCAGGACTGATGTCTAGTGAGTGCTGCTTTCTACTTCCAAGATAGCACCTGGATGCTGTATCCTCTATAGGGACAAATGCTATGTCCTTACATGACAGAAAGAATGGATGGGCAAGAGAGTGATCCCTTCAAATGCAAGCCCCATTGAAAGGGCTCTAAATCCCATCCGCGAAGGTTCTGCTTTCAGGGCTTAATCATTTCCTAAAGGCCCCCTCTCTTAATGTTATCCCTATGGAGATTAAATTTAAAAACATGAATTGGGGGATATACATACCATAGTAGACAGTTCCTCCATAGCAAGTAGAAACTGTCCCTGAAAATGGATTGATTGCAGGTCTGCAGGTCTGTTAGAGAAATGCTTTACAATAACTGTCATAAATATGCTCAAAGAAATAAAGGAAAATGTAGAGAAAGCCAAGAAAGCAATGTGTGAATAAAATAGATATATCAATCAAGAAATAAAAGTCCTGAAATGAAACCAACAAAAACTCTGAAGTTGAAAAGTATAAGGACTGGAAAAAAAATAATTAGAGGGATACAAAGGCAGATTTCATTCAAAGAAAGAGATAGCAGTTTCAAAGGCAGGATAATAGAAATGATCAACTATGAGAAACAGAAAGAAAAAGATTTAAAAAAGTAAACAGAGTTTAAAGGACCTGTGGGAGAACCTGGAAAAGCTGTTGCTGCTATCAATGCATAACATACTATTATTAGTCTCTCTCTCTCTCTATATATATATACACACACACACACACACTCACACACACACACACACACACACACACACATATATATAAATTGAATTTTGGGAAACTTTAACTGTGCTGCCAACTTTGGAAAAAGTCATCCCAATTTACTGTGTTGACTTGGCATTGTACAGAAATGGGCAACCATATTGGTCTAGAAATGTTAATTTATTTTTATTTTTATATTTATTTTTTTCCATGTGTACAGGGGTAACACATCGTACTAAATATGTAAGGTCATATCTAAGTGGGTTTGATTACAGAAACTAATAAAGTATTCTCTAAATAATGAAAAAAAGAATAAGATAAGACTATAAGAGCGAGAAGCAATTTAAATATGTTCAGGGACCATTTTCATCTCCAGAATTAAGGATTATTTTGATGTTACATCATTGCCTTTTCTCTTTTACTTTCCTTTTTAGTTTTATTTTAGGATTCCCTATTTTTAATGTTCATACAGAGATTTCTTTAACTGAAATACCGAATAGTTTCTTTGGTGTGAAAAACTACAATAGTACACAGGATTATAATGAGATAATTAATAATGTGAAATAGGAAGTAAAGGGCTAAAGGTGTAGGGAAAGTGGGAAGGGTGGGGGAAAGGTAATAAGGGAGAGGAAAAAATATGAGAAACTGAAAAAATGGAAATAAAGTGTTTGTAAATGGGGAGGGGAGGAGGGGGGTGAAGGGAGGGCAGGGACAAGGGGAAAATGAGAATCAAGACCTATTATGTAAAGGTACAGAATCCCAGTGATGAATGTAATTGTATTGTATACCTAGATTGTACCAATAACCTCAATAAAAAGAAAAAAAAAACAAACAAATTGACCAACAGATATTGTACATTGTGAGAATCCCAGAAAAAGAAAAGAAAGAAAAAAGGGAAGAGAATATTTGAGGAATTAATAACTGAAAATTTCTCAAATTTGATGAGAAACTTTTACATAAACACCCAAGAAATTCAATAAACTCTAGATAGTTCAAAGAAATATATACACCATGATACTTCAAAGATATCTACACTAAGATACATTAAAAGTATAAACAAACTGTCAAAAGTTAAAAGAAGAGAGATTCTTGAAAATAGCAAGAGATATGCAACCCCATCATGTACAAGAGAATCTCAATCTGATTATCAGCAGATTTTTCATCAAAAACCTTGGAGGCCAGAAGGTAGCAGGCTGACATAGTCCAAGAGAGAAAAAAAAAAAAAGGTATGTCAACCAAGAATACTGTATTTAAAAAAACTGTCCTTCAGAAGCAAGGGAGAAATGAAAACATTTCCGGATAACAAAAGCTGAAAGAGTTCATTACCACTAGATATGCCCTACATGAAATTAAATCTCACTAGTTAGTAACTCAGAGCTATATGAGGAAATTAAGGGCTTATTAAAGGTAACTACATGGGCTATCATTATTGTAACAATGAATTTTCATTCTGTTTTTTGTTTTCTGTACAATTTAAGGCACCAACAAATTAAAAAAACAATTGCTAGTCTGAAGGTTAATATTATAACTGCAGTTTGTAACTACATATTTTATTTTTTATATATTTTATGAGACTAATGCTTTAAAAAGCATTATTAGCTTATATTTTGAAACACATAAGGAATAAAACAGTGATTTTGTGACATCGACAACAGAAAGGGTGGAGACGGAGCTGTAAAGGAGCAGTTTTTGTATGTGATTGAAGTTAAGATGGCACAAATTCAAATTAGAGTGTTATCATTTTAGGATGTTAAATGTTAATTCCCATGGTAACCACAAAACAAATAGCTATAGAATGATTCCATTTATATGTGGTACTTAGAATCATCAAATTTGCAGAGATAGAAAATAGAATGGTGATTTCTAGGGGTTGAGGACGAGATGATGCAGTTATTGTTGAGTATAGAATTTTAGTTTTGCAAGATGAGAAAAATTTTGAAGCCAGATGGTGGCAATGCTTGAGCAACAGTATAAATGTATTTAATATCACTTAACTGTGTTTAAAATTTGTTTAAGTGATAAATTTCATGTTGTTCATTCCCACAATAAAAAAAAACTGGAAAAATTAAAAGCCATCTTACTTTTTTGAAGAAGATGGGAATGCTCTACATCTTGATTTGGATGGTAACTCCCTGGGTGTATACAAGCTGAAAAATCAGGAAAATGATTCACAATGGACAGAAATTTGGGATCCATAGATGGATGACATCAGCCTCATCCTCACTGAGATTTTGTGTATCTTTGTGTTTAAGAAGAAGCCAGCCAGGGATTTAGCTCAGTGGTGCCACTGCCTACCTCCCAAACACAAGGTCCCAAGTTTGATTCCCAGTACCAAAAATGAAAAATAAAGCCAGGCTTGGTGGGGCACGCCTGCAATCCCAGCACTCAGGAGGCTGAGGAGGGAGAATCACTGTGAGTTTGAGACCAGCCTGGGCTACATAGTGAGTTCCAGGTCAGTCCCAACTACATAGTGAGACCCTGTCTCAAAAATAAATAAATAAATTCAATAAATAAATCAAACAAACAAACAAAAACAGCAACTTTACTCAAGAAGAAGGCATTGCTAGTGATGAGATCGAGTGATAGTAACAATCTCTTGTCAGCGTGTTCAGCACATTACAATTTATACAAAACATTAAATATGCCATCCCATATGATTTTTTTCTCAAAGAGGCTGAATAGCGTGTGTAATTATTTCCATTTTATAAATAAGAAAACTGAGGTTCATAAAAAGAGAATTTTGGCCAAAGACTTCACCTGTAAGTTCTCTCTACCATTTTCACTCTGCCTTGATCTCCCCTTTTTTTTGTGCTCTGGTCCCAGTTCTTTGTAGGACCACAAGTGAGGTCTCTCTCCCAGACCTTGGGAGTTCAGGGTAGGCAGGGAACTTTGGTGGAGCTGTCATCCCATCCTGAGTTATATGGGTGGCACTCTTCAGTAGGATCACAGGGTGATGCCTATCTTGGGGCACTGCCCTTTGAAACAGCCTGAAGGGACTTGGTGGCTGTAGGTGGTGACTGTATAGAACAAATAAACATGGCTTGCCTCCTTCAACAAACCTCATGATGTGTGATGTCTGTAGTGCTGGCCAGGCCTGGTATAATTAATGTCAAGACGTTGCAACAAACTTGTCCACTGGGCTGGGCCATGTGCTAGGGAGTTGGTCCCCTCCCGAAAACATGTCAGGAGATGAGTCCAGTAGGTATAACACAGGGAATCTCCATGACCCTGACTTCCATTCTCTTCTCTGACTTTTAACTACTACAGATGTTTAAAATAATAAGTCAAAATTGTCTAAAATGAAAATAACAGTTCTTTTTTTCTATTGCCACTAAAACCTTAGCTTTCAGAAGTCATTAGCCTTAAACTGTAAAACAGTGGTTCTTAAATTCTTTTTCTGCTCTAAATATTTACTGTAGGTGATCTCATCCATGCCAATGACTTTTAATATCACTTACAGTTTGCTTATCTTTAAATCTTTATTTCCTGAGTCCTAGAAACCTGTCACGCGCACCTCGCCAGCAAGGAGCACGCAACACTCAGGATTCTTCTGATGCACGCTTTATTGGAGGTTCTTCTACATTCTTCAAGATGGCGGAAAGACCCCGAGCCGGATGCGAGCCTGCCTTTTATAGCCTCTCGGGTGACGTAGCCCATTTCTATTGGCCAATGCCGGCCTGCGTCATTCTGACGAGCCAAGCGCCCCTTCTGCGCATGCGCGAACCGCAGTCACCGGCGGACTCACATCCGGGATTCATGCAGGGCATGAAGAGCCCGGAAACAATGGCGCGTGACAGAAACCAATAAACAATGTCCTTTGGAAACTCTACCAGGATATCCTCAGGCATCAAAAACATATAGCCCAAAGGAGTCTTTTTTTTTTTTTTTTTTTTTTTTTTTTATTGGTACTGGGGATTGAATTCAGGACCTTGCACTTGTGAGGCAGGTGTGGTGTCACTGAACTAGATCCCCAGCCCCCAAAGCAGTCTTTTTACCTCCTCTCTGCCAACCAACTCTTACAACCTCACTTCCATCCTATAGCCAGACTGGATTTCTTCTATTCCTTCTATCATCATCTCCAGTCAAAGGACCTGTTTATCTTATTATGCTACCTGAAGAATTGTATGAAGTCAACAGTGTTGCTATTTCCATTTGGCTATTTTTTCCCTTAATTCAGATGGCTTCTTGGAGGCAATGAGGGAAAGGCTAAGATCATTGAGAAGCCTGAGTGAAGAAGCTTGGGGTAGTGGTTGTCACACATATTCCGTGGAGGAGTTGTGTGAAATGTCTTGGGAGACATGTTTGGGTCTTAGCTGATCTTCCCTGGAAGCAAAATTTGAGATAATCATGGTGCATAGAATGTCTTTTGGAGGTGATTTTAGAAAGCAGTAGTGGGGGAGTATTCAGAGTTTCGGAAAGGGGAAGATCGTCAATGAAGTATGTATTGAAGAGTGGATTGTTATGAACAACTGGGGCTTGGTCCCACCAGGGACTTTCTGAAGAATGTATGGCATATTTCTTAGACCTATCCCTCCAAAAGATGGTATCACCAATCAATTGAGGGTTCTTTTGCTTGATTCAGATAGAAATCAAGAACAGCCAAACACAGCTCTGCTCCCAGCCCTGGGCTTTGAAGGCCAGTCGCCTTCAACTCTTAGTGTTTACAACTATTGGCCCTGATGCCACTGGTCAACTCCACTTAATGCCATTTGCCACTGGTCAACTCTGCCTTGCTGGACTCTGCCTGTTCCTGGACTCTGTCCCTGGTCTTTGTGCGCTGTTGGGCTCTGAAGCTCTGTAGGACCAACAACCACAAGCGTTTACAGTATTTTTTAAAGTGACCCCTCTAGCTGTGACACTCAGTACCAGAATACCAAGTGGAGCCCACACTACCAGAGAAAAGAAATCAGAAGTAGATTTACAGGACCACCAAAGCAAATCTTTATTTGAACAAAATCTGTGCTGTGGTGCAAGAGGGCAGATGCTCAAGAGAGATTTTAGTAGATCAGGAATGTGAGAGGAGTGCTGCTTATATAGCACCAGTAGGCCTGTGACAGGTCCAAATTTAGGCCTGATGATTGGCCTGAAATAGTATCTGTGATTGATCCAAATTTGAGGCTGTTGATTGGTTCAAACTGATCTACACTGAAGCTTGATTTTAGTCTACTAATTGGTCCAAATTCAATTCTATATTTTAGTTCAATCAAGCCAGCTACCCTCAGGATAGACATCTCCTGGAGTAGTGAAGTCATCCAGGTTAGTTACAGCTGTCACAGAGGCAGTTCAGTAGAACAATTGGAACATCAGGAAATGAGGCTGCTTGATTGACAGCTGTCATGTCTCTGTGAAAATGGCAGGGTGAGGAACCTTCAGGAGGGGTAGCTGTGTTAGTCATAGTTTACTGGGGCTAAGAGAGGCTGGAAGTGGGCTCAGAACCCTCCCTGATCTCTATTACTTTAGGGCAGTTTCCCAGTGTCCACCATCCACCATCTGGGGGTCAACCTTCTCCCACCTCTTGGGTGGATCTGAATGGCTGAGAGGCCTTCTGAAGCTTCTCTGAACACAGAGCAAAGAAATGCCTTGGCACGCACTCATCTGGAGCTCTGAGGGGTTGCGTGAGACGCTGAGCTATACTGAGAAGAAGTCAGGGTACATCACGAAAAGCTGCTTATAAAGGAGAGGTGGAGTGGGCTCAGTCCCCCGCCCCCACTCTCACCAAATCATAGAACTTCCCTGATTACTTCATATACATTAAAGTGCCATTACTTGTTTGATTTGAAGAAAGTATTTTGCAGCTGGAATCACTTGAAAAACACTTCTCTTTACAGTCTGATTTCAGTACTACATGAATGCACATCCGGATTCCCTGGCAGGTTCCTGACATTCCAGCAACTCACACTGGATCTCTGTTAAGAAGTAAGTGTCCCTGAGAGGACACTCTTTGATTTGCTGTTGACATTTAATGTAATTACTGATGAAGTGGATTTGCATCTTGCCATTTTGCCACTTGTTTTCTGTCTAGTGTTTTTATTTATCTGCCACTGAATTCTTTTATGTAAAAATATTCTTGTGTCCCATTTTTATTTCTTTGTATTTCCTTCACTACTATTTTAAAGTTGTTTTCTTAGCAGTTGGTTAAAAATTATCTAATTTGGATTAATACTAATAATATCAATTGCATCCACAGACTTTTCTCCAATATAGCTTAATCCCTTGTCCCTCATTGTATAATTATTGTTATAAAAGTGTATCTTTAGGGCTAGGGATTTAGCTCACTGGTTCCTCTGCCTGCCTTGCAAGGACAAGGTCCTGAGTTCGATCCCCAGTACCAGGAAAAAAAAAGGGTGTCTTTATACTTCATGAACTAATCAACACCTTTTATGCTGTTGTTTTGAAAAATGTTGATATATGTAACATAAAATTTACTGTCTTAATCATTTTGTAAGACACAGTTCAGAGATATTAAGTACATTCACACTGTTGTGCTACAATCACCACCATCCATCTCCAGAATTCTCTTCATCTTGTAAAATGAAACTCTGTATGAATCTAGCAATAACTCCTCACTCCTTTCTCATAAGACTCTTGTAACCACAGCTGTACTTTTTTTCTCTATGAATTTGACTACTTCATGAGTAGAGTCCTTGTATTTGGCCTTTTGCAACTGACTTATTTCACTTAATGTGATGTCTTCAAATTTTGCTCATGTTGTGACATGTGTCAGAATTTCTTTCCTTTTGAAGATTGAAAAATATTCAGAGAGAGAGAGAGAGTGTGTGTTTTATCCATTCATTCACTGATAGATATTTGAATGGTTTCCACCTTTTGTTTATTTTTGATAATGCAGAAATGAACATGGATATATTTCTTAGGGATCTGCTTTCAATCCATTTGGGTGTGTACACAGAAGTAGAACTTCTTGGTGATATGGTAATTCTACTTCTAAGTTTTGTGGAGGTTTCATAATGTTTTCTATAAAAGCCATGCTATCTTATGTCCCCAGTAACACACAGATTTTATGTTCCCACTGACACAAGGATTTGGATTTTTCCATATTCTTGTCAATACTGGTTATTTTCTGAAATAGTAATCATTTTAATGGGTGTGAGGTAACACCTCACAGTGTTTCAGTTTAGTATTTGGTTTTGTGTTTCCTTAATGATCGAGCCTCTCTTCATGTGATTATTGGCCATTTGTATGTCTTCTTTGGAGAAATATATATCCAAATCCTATGTCTATTATACAGTTTGGAATTGTTTTTTGTTCTTGGTATAATCTGGATGTCAATTTCTTGCCAGATATGTGACTTGAAAATAATTTTTCCCATTCTCTTGTTAGTGTCACAGAAGTTTTAATTTTGGTGAAGTTTGTGGCTTTGAAGCTTGTGGCTTTGGTGTCATAACCAAAGAAACCATTGCCAAATCCAATGCCATGATGCTTTCCCCTATGTTTTCTTTAAAGAATTTTATAGTTTTAGCTTTTCCATTTAAGTTCTTGATTTTTTTTGGTTCATCTTTATATATGATATTAGTTAAGAGTTCAATTCTATTCTTTTGCATGTGGATATACAACTTTCTGAGGATCAGTAGTTGAAAAGACTGTCCTTTTCCTCCTTGAATGGTTTGAGAATACTTGTCAAAAATTATTTGACCAAATATATATTCACATATTATCTCATATTTATTTTTGGGCTCTCTATTCTATTCTATCGGCCCATATGTTTGTTTTTAATGTCAGCATCACACTGTTTGGATTATTGTAGTTTTTTTGTAAGATTTTTTGGGGATTTGGTTTGAGACAGGATCTCGCTATGTAGTTCAGGCTGACCTTGAACTCAGTATTAGCCCAGGCTGGCCTCAAACTCATGGAGCTCTTACTGCCTCAACCTCCTGAGTGCTGGGATTACAGGAGTACACCACCACATGGGCTACTTTTTTGTAAGTTTTGAAGAATCCAAGAGAAAAAAAGTTATAAAAAACCCCCAGTATTTACCTACATAGTTAACTTTCTAGTGGTCTTTATTTCTTCATGGGGATTCATATTATTGTCTAGTGTATTTTCATTTCAGCATGAAGGACTTTTCTTAGTATTTCTTGTAGAGCAGATTGGCTAGTGATTATTCTACTTTTGCTTATTTGGGAGTGTCTTAATTTTTCCTTCATTTTTGTAGCATAATTTTGATGGTTATAGAATTTTTAGTTTATATATTTTTTTCAACATTCTAAATATGCCATCCCATTAACTTCTGACCTCCATGGTTTCTGATGAGAATCAGATTTTAGTCTTAGTGAGTTCATCCTACTTCGAATTTCTTAGATTTTCAGATTAATATTTTTCATTAAATTTGAAATTTTTATCCATGTTTTCTCAAGTATGCTTCCATTTATTTCTTTCCCTTCTCTCCTGAATTCCCAGTAGGTACATGTGGGTATGCTTAATGGTGTCTCAGAAGCTAATTTTTCTTTATTCTTTTCTCGTTC